AGAACATGCGGTGGTCGGACCGAATAATTTTTCCAGGGCTCCAGGGATTACAATGCTGTGCATTTTGCACTTAAAATTTTTAAAATTATCTGATGAATTGAATAGTTAAGCAATTTCTTTTGGGTTTAGTTTGATTTCTTGTTCTTTGGTTGAATACTTCCATCCAGTAAGATTATCATGATTCATGCAAGCTCCTTAACTATACCATTGATAAAACAGTTTTATTTTTTTGTTTATTAAAGCCCTGGATTGTATTTTAGGGAAACAAACCGAAATTGAGTTTGGTATGTAGGAGTAATTAATTTCCTAATATGAATATGCTAGTAGTGATTCTTATTAGCTTGAAGTTTTGGATTAACGGTTGTCTCTTTACAACAATATTGAACCTAATTAAGACTTCTGATGTTCTACCCCGCAGCAATCTAAAAGTAAGGAATCAACAATTAAATCCATCCACGAGCTTTTTTACATCTAAATTTTGTGTTAACATAAACTTTCTTAATACTGAGATATTATGTGCTCAATTTTGTTACCTTCTTTTTCAGGTTTTGCTCTCAGTTCTGTGGAGGGTAGAGTTGCTATGGAATTCTTTGACTTGTCTGAGGCAAGCCAATCTAAGAAGTATGATTATCTGTTCTTTCTAATTTAAACGGCATCAGTTTTAACCTAGTATGTTGATCTGCATATCAACTGCATCTAGTCTTGTTTTATTTGTCTTTAGGGGCTAACTTTGTTTATGTTCCATGTTTTATTTGTCTTTAGGGGCTAACTTTGTTTATGTTCCATTTTCTACTTGGTAGATGTGTGATTTCTTGTTTGTTTTTCATCATTTTCTTCCTTGCCTTTGAAAAGCTTGCAGTTTTTTCAAGCACATTGAAGTACTTAGCAAATTGTAATACATTTGCATTGCAAAAGGGACATTGTTTATTTAAGGGTCAATTACATAAATACTACATACCACTCAATTCCTATGCATTTACATATCTAACTCCTAAATTCTAGGGGCCGTCTGAGATCACTTTTGTTTTTGTTTTCTATTTTTTTAATTTTGTTTTGTTTTTGTTTTGATTTGAAACAAAACATGTTTTTTTATGTTTGATTATGGTTGTTTTTTGGAAACATTCAAAAAAATTGTTTTTTTTTGTTTTCAAAAATATGTTTATTTGTTTTTAGGAACAAATGATAAAAACATATAAAAAACACACTAACTCGCATGTTTTTTTAAAAACAAACGGAAAATAAAACAAAATTGATCCCAGACAAGCCCTTAATTTTTACATTTATACCATCAATATCTTTCATCAAATAAAAAATGCCACCATTTTAACTTTTAAAAAGTGAAATGCACCTTTTCCATGCATGGGTAAGGTGACATGCATATAAAAATTAAAGTTTAGGTGTTAGATATGTAAATGCATAGGAATTGAGTGGGATGCATGTAAATCTTCTTTTTTATTAAATAGGACTTATTTGCTAATTTGCGGGAACAAGTTTTGTGAGTTTTGTAGCATGTGCTGTATTTTTGTAATCCTCTCAGCAGAATCAATTTAGTGACAATATAGTATGATTCTCAGGTATGCATTTAAGTGCCATCGAAAATCAGAGGCCGGAAGGGACACCGTATACCCTGTGAATGCTATTGCGTTCCATCCCATGTAAACTATTTGTCTGCTTTTCTTTAAATGACACTTATACAATGTTCAAACACCCTGCTTATCTCTTAACTTTCTATGTTTTTTTCTTGCAGATATGGAACCTTTGCCACTGGAGGTTGTGATGGTTATGTCAATGTTTGGGATGGAAACAACAAGAAGAGACTCTATCAGGTAATTTATGACCTCAATGCTCCGTTCAAATAATAGTAAAATGTTAAAATAGTCTCCTGACTATTACATGGATCCATTTTAGTATCAGAGTCTATAAAAATGCTAAATTAATCCTCATATTTTCTGAATGTGGGCTGAAATAATCCCGATGAAGACTATTTTGGCCTCCCATTAAAAAAGTTTGGGAACTAAATTGACACTTATAGTAATGCAAACCCTGCCTATCCCCCCACCACACCCCCCCAAGAAAAAAATCAAGGCACCATTTTACTGCTTATCTTAACTGGTGTAACAACAGCCGCTTGTTGTTCTTATTTATCTTTCTTCAGTACTCGAAGTACCCAAGTAGCATTGCAGCTTTATCCTTCAGCAAAGATGGTCGCCTGCTGGCAGTCGCATCCAGTTACACTTTTGAAGAGGGAGATATACCGTAAGCCAAGAGAAAATTTTTATTTTATGATTCCTAATTTAAATTTTTTCGTAATTCACACAATGCAGATTAACGTTGTTTTATTGTATGCGACTGTAGTCACGAAGAGGATGCAATTTTTCTTCGGAGTATTAATGAAGTTGAAGTCAAGCCAAAGCCAAAAGCAATCCCTGCTGCAGCACCCCTATAATTAAACAATTGAAGAAGAAAATGCTACTATCGGGTGGAATTTCTTTTTTCTTGATCTTTATCCACTTTCTTGCATGCTTTATCAAAATAACTTTTTTATGGAATTAGCCAATTATTGTTTCTAAAATTTAATGGAGAGTCAATGTGGAGGTATTAACTTGAGTTATTTATGATAGTTTCTAGACAATTTACTAACACAAACTAATTTACTAACACAAACTGCCTTGAAGATTAAATAGTTCAATTATTTTGGGAGATTTGACATCTTCATCTTCAAGATTTTCTATTTGACATGTTTTTGTTTAAATTCTTTCAAATTTTAAATATATAACCTATCATCCATCAACTTGGTATCAAAGCAAATGATTTACTTTCTTGCACTTAATTCAGTGATTTCCTATTATTTTAATCACATTTTCATTAATTTCCTGTGATTAATGAAATGTTATTCCCTCCTGTGCCCATTTGTCTTCTCCTGGTGACATTTTCTCTTATATGTTGCTTTCATGAGCTCTACTTTTATATATTACATGAAGCAGACGACATCTATATTTATTTTCCTATAATCTCTTTCTACTTGCTCCCATTCCCTTTTCTCTCTTGCTTCCCCTTCATGTCTTAAAATTTCCCTAGTCTCTCCTTAAATTTCTCTACAAACCCATTTAAAATCAAACTTATATTTCAAATTTAATTAAAATCTTCTTGTCATAAGATTCCTTCCAAAAATTAGTCAATCTAGTTTATTTTGATCCTAATTAGAAGCTCTTAGTTTTGGCCTCATCTTGCAAGCTTAAATTTGCTATTCTCAATAATCCATGAGCTGTATGATCCTCCCTACGCAATCAAAGATTTTCTTTCTCATTCCCATCAATTTTGACAGAAACTAAACCCATTCAGAACAATAATTCATAGAGAGAGAAAAACATAAAATAAATAGAGAAAAAAAGGAAAGAAAGGCTTTTTCTTTCAAAATTATTGTTATCGAAGATGTGATAATCTTCCTCTTATTGATACTACGTCAAGGACTGAATTTAATTCTACTCAGTAATTGTGTAATATTGCCATTATAAGTTGATAATTTTATGTTGTTTATTGACACTTTTACCATCATGCACATGTTCTTGTTTTAGGAAACTTTACTTCATATTTATATGATACCAAGTTGAGAATGTTGATAAATGAATTTGTTTAAAGTCTGGTTGAATTATTAATGTTTCTTTTGGGTGCTGAATTGATTATATATATATATATATATTCTTGTTTACAATTCTTGTTTACAATTGAACTTAACACTAGCCATTAATTCTGCATAGCTCATATGACTATTTTGCTGCATTTTATATATCATTCGAGTTTTATTTTACTTTTTCATAAATTTTTGTGCATTATGATTTGAATCACAAAGACAATCCAAACTTTTATAAAAAATTACATGTAGGGTAGACAAGTGAAATCAAGATGGCCATGGTGAATTTTTTTGAAGAATTAGAAGATCAAATTTCATCGACTAATGGGCAAGTTAGATTAACCTTCTAGCCAAATAAGCAGCCTAGTTTTGAAATTAATTGACTTAGAAAACTCGATGAAGAAACCCTTCAAGTTGTTTTTTCATTGCCTAAGGACCTCCATATGGAATTCACCTCATCGGAGATCTTCATTTCCTCATGACATATTAAGCGATTTGGTAGAAATGCCTAGTGATGTTTCTTTTAGGACAATCCAACATATGAGTTGTGGTACACCTAGGTCGCCGTCTTTAGATTGCCAGGGTTTTATAAGGATAGGTGTAACTACCTATTATTTTTGGTCTGGGCAAACTAGGAGCTCTAGAGATTGTGGATGTTAGTGATCATTAGGATTTTGTAGAGTAGAGAGAATATAGATCATATACCTTTTTTTTTGTGGAAGATTGTTACCTTGAAGAGGAGATGCTTGACATTATAAGTTTCATGAAAGAAATTGTAGGGCCCATTTTGGTTGACTTCACGGTGAATCTAAAATAATCTAAAACTATGATTGATGCCCAAACCTTTAAATGTTATACATGACTTGGATATTTTGCTTGATAAGTTATTTGAACTTGAGAATCTCTTTGGTTTTTATTCTATTTGCTATCCAAACTGAGCTAATGCCAATATTAAATTGTTAGGTGCTATTAGAGGCAGAACCAAACTTTTTTTTGAGTGCGGACAAACATATTATATAAATAGATAAATTTTACAAAAATAAAATGATAACATAATTCCAAACAAAGTCTTATATATCATTATCATTGATGAATTGAACAATATTACAAACATTTCATTATATTTTGAATTTTTTGATAATATTATATAACGAATTCATTTGGAACTAAATCAAACACTTTTTTCAATATAAGTTACAAGATAATTATTAAGTCAGTCATCACTCATTCCATTATGCAATCAATTTTTGATAATTTTTATTGTAGAAAATATTATTTTAACTATATTAGCAGGTGCTAATTAAATTTATGTAATGATAGCCAATTTATAAACTAAGTGATACAAAATTCTTCTTTGTCTTAACTATTTATTTTCTAAGTTCAACAAGCTTATTTAAAGATAAGAAATTAACACTATTGTGCATATCAATAATATAATAGATAGTTGATAGTTATGAACCACAAATTCAACAATAAAAAAATTATTAGGATATAATTCTACAAGATGTTTCAATTTTTCCTTATTAAAAGCGAACAATGAATCACTTGAGCTTAAACATATCACTCAAAGAAGTAATTTGGTACTTCGGTGAAACAATTAATTAGCTCTTAAAATTGTATGTTAATCATAATGTAAAATGTAACATGATAATAATACAAATTTATTATGTTTTCAACTTTACATGTTGATCGACAATGAGCATTAAAGATACAATTCATATATTGAATATCAATTTAAAAGAATGTGTTACTTCATCCAATAAATAATCCGTCTATTATCTCTCATCCTTTGTAATCATTGCTTCAATATTTACCCCAATTTGATTCCATTCTCAATATTATGAACTTTGTAAGGATTGTGATAGTTTAAATGCATTGTAAAGGGAAAATCAAAAGATTCGATTGCAACAATTAGAACACCAACTTTAAATAATTGTTGATCATGTATCTTATCTTTCTTTACTTTCTCAAATACTCAAGTACGAATGAATACATTTTTGTGAGACTAATTAAAATATGAAAATTACAAGTTTCAACTGGCGTCCACCAACTTGTTGCGGAGATGTTATAAAATCTCTAGTATTAAGATGCAATTGAATCTTTTCATATGAATGATTTTAAGAGTATCATTTCTCTTATAAAAATCTAAATGTATTTAAAATTTTTGAATAAATTCAAAAAGATGTTTACTTATCAAATTTTTTTTTATTATAACTATCAAATGTAATTGAAGTTGACGAATACAACAATAAGCACAATATACTTGTCGATTATCGTTAAGAATAAAATTTTTTTAAACCATTAAACTTGTCTCGCTTATTAGATGCGTCATCACAACCTTAGCTATATATTATATGTATGTTTAATGAACGTTTCACTAGTATAGACTTAAGAGTTGCCTTTAGTGCAACTGCGGTTATTATGAGAACATGTTTAATATTAATAAATTTTTCAATAATTTATTTATTTATTAAAATATCTCACAGCAATATTTAGTTCATTTGAAACAAATTAATCCACAAAGTGCAAAAAATTAAACATCCAGAAATAACAACATAATTTGAAAACCACACCTCAAATCAGTACTGAACAATATATCATATCTGAAGGAAACAGTAAAAAGTAACTATCAACACAATATAACTATTACCGATCAGCTACAGTCTTCTTTCTACAAACTAAATCTTTCTTACCAGACTTATCAACATAAAGTTTTTCTTTTCTTGAAAGAAAATATTAATTTTAACTGTAAGTTTGATTTAATGAGTAATTATAATCTTAATATGCATTAAATTATTATACGTATGCTATGCATTAATGACAAAAAAAATACAGTTTATTTTTTCATAAACATTGAATTTTCATGTTAATTTTATTCATTCTCGATTTACTTTAAGTATTTACCATTTTAACCTCTTTAGTAATTATAACTGGATTGTCGTCATACTTGAAGGTATCCTAAAAAAATTACTCGTATGTACCCCCAAACTGTATCTGTAGGTACCTCAAATTACACTTGAAGATACATAATTATCATTTCTTTTAAAGTGTATGAGCATGCGCTCTCTATCAGTACCATCTGGAGGTAATTTTGTATGGCTTAACATTTACATTTCATTTCATATAAATTTAAAATTCTTTAAAATATACATTCGTATGTCATTTATTTCTTCCTATTTGTGATACCATTTCAGACTTTCAAAATGCATACATGGATGAAATATTTTTGTTTTAAACCATTTAATAAAACAATTATTCTTTTAATAAAATATTAATTTAATACATAAAAGAAAATCATTACTCACCTTGTTTACAAGAAACTTATGAAATTATTTATTCCTTCACTTTACTTTCTTTAACTAACATCTAAATTAATTAAAAGTGCATATGACTATTAGAATTACTTAGAAAGAATTTAAATATGAAAAAAATTACTAAAATGCTAACCTATTTTTTAATTTTAGGATTCTTTGCCTTCTTCAAATCCCAAGGATTTATCAGATTCTTCACACTTCCTAATCTAAATAAATTTTAATAACATTAATTAATTTAACTAATTACGCCATTAATTACATTAATAACATAAGGTTTAGCATTTACTTTATAGGCTTTCGGGTCAATCTCCTCCTTTACCTGTTCGCTTCACAAACTTCCTCTCCTTCAAAGCGAAAATCCATGTATTAAAGTCTTTATTAAATTTGACACTACATTCAAACACTCACACATCCACAAATTCATTAAATAGCTTAATAAAAACCCTAACATACTGTAAAATCTTTTGGTTGCCCGCAACTCTTCCTTTTCTCTCACATGAAATTCGTGTCACCCCGTTGCCGCATTTTTCTTGA